GGTTTCGAATTAAAACTATAAAAATACTCCAGACTAATCTTTTATTTATTTATTCCTATATAATAACAATTTGTTTATTTATTTATATATTCATGATTGCTGTCACATACTGTAAGTAGGACGTTTTATTTAAAGTTTTTGAAATAAGTGACCATCAAAATATTAAGTATAATAAAAAAATAGTATATCATGAATTTATTAAGCATAAATTACATTGAAATATGCAATTTAATAGTTAACCAGTACTTTTTTAGTAACTTATAAAAATTTCATTATTTCATAAAAAAAAAATTTAAATAATAGAGTTTTAAGTTAAATATAAATATTTGAAACGCAAATATAATATAATTTAAATTTAAAGATTTTACACTTAAAAAGCTATTGAAATATGTAATATAATATTTAAACTAACTAAGTTAAATGTCAAATTTTACACAGTAGTGGCATGTGTCATAAAAATAACATACAACTGTTTTTAATTTTTATCAGAACATAAATGATTTTTAACAGCATAAGATATTTTAGCTCTTTCAAATATAATTTTAAATTCTATCAAGTAGTTTTATTTTTATTAATTTAATAATTTATAAATAATTATTACAGTAAAAGAACAACTCATAGGTAAATTATTTTGAAAACATTTTTACATATTTTAGTAAAATGTATGTTCTAATATGTTTATTCTTTACATTTTTAAAACACATCTGTTTCCATTTCAGTTCAGTTTTATAATAATAGGTATAATTATTACATTAATATGGTAAAATGATAAAACCACTCATTAAACACATTACACGGAGTGTAATTTTCAGTTAATTTAAGGTTTTTTTCAATGTTTTCAATATAGTTAAAATAAAAATGAAATACTAGGGTCCTAGTATAAATCCTTTTCTATAATGATTGTAGTTCTTATAAGTTTGAAAGGAATGATATGTAATCAAATTTGAGTACTGACTTTAAACAAATATCCTGGTAAATTATGTCAATAGACTGATATTTGCATCGCATACGTAGTAAGACTAGTATTATTTATATTATTTAATTCAGAAACTAATAATGCGATACACAAAGAGGTTAAAAACTGACGATGAAATACTCTTACGTTATATTAAATACGCATGAACCCAGTCAACTGAATTTGTTGATATAAAATTCAACACAGTGCATTGTAATCCATTGCAAATGGGAACTATAGAAAAAAATTAGATCATAATTTTCCGATAAGAAGAGATTAAACTTAAGATTAGGCGTAAACACGCTGAATAATAAATAATATCATCTGACCTACAGCGTGATGCGTAGTTAAAAAAAAACACATCTTCACGAAGATATTCTATACTTAAATACCATATATTTAGGTCTATTTAATAAATAATATGAACCGCACACGAGAGGGTCAACATTGAACTCTATTTCTACGATCTGTCGACGTTTTGTAGGAACCAGAAAATGTATGTTCTTTCGATAATTTCCGCGCTAAAAAGATTACCTCATACCGACACTATTTCCCATAGTAGTGTATTTACTAAACTTGTGTACGCAATTCTATTCCCCCCCCCCTCTTAATCCTCTATCTTCGTTCTTCAACGAAACTGCACTTTTATTTACTAATATTTTTTATGCAAAAACGCTCGAAAAATTAGGCATCGTATACGAATGGACGTGAATTCGTATACTCATAAGTATAACGTCATGTTTATAGTTAGGTGACCTAAACAAAAAAGTTGGCCCTTAATCTTAATGTTGTCAAAGGGAGGACTCTACCATTGTATTAAATTAATTATTTCTGTTCACAATTAAAACTTTATGGTTAAGATAATATTTTAAAGACTGTTGAGCATTATATTTAAAAAGTACTTCAATAAATTCTTAACACTCAGTCTAATTCGTTTTCTTTTTAACCCTAATATGTGTAGAACGTATAGGTCTGTTTTTTTTTTTTTGCCCGATGTACATTCAATTTACATGGGGTTTATTTTTATTCTATAATTAATTCTTCGACTTAACACATAGACACAATGAAATACGAAATTAAACATTTGTTATTATCAAATTTTACAATAATAACATTTGAAAGATTCAAATCAAGCATGCTCAGAAATTTTGAATGGGGAGGGTTGTAATTAATTTTATTATTTGCATAAGTATCAATATAAAAATGTGATACATGAGATACGTATTAAACTATATAAATATATATTGTAAAATTTTTGAATTATAAAATATTTTTTTAATTTAGTTAATAAATTATAATATTATTATATACTAATTATATACTAGTTATAAGAAAACATAATCAAGTTAATGAAACTTTTTCTATGCTATTTTCTAGAGTAAAATTATTTTTTTTATTCAATTTAATGGTTTTTTAGCTAATCAGGAGCTTATTTTTACCTTAACTTTTTTAAAAAATGTTTGAAACTAATTAGTTATTTTTTCATGTTATTTTTGAATAGTGGAAACCATAGCTGCAGAAAAAAGTACTGCTTATTTTAATTTAAAATCACATTTTTGCAAAAGTGTACATAAAATTAAACCATATGAAAATAACAACTTATGAAAAATAAATAATTTTAATTTTAGTTGAAAGTAATAATTGAAATAGAATACAAATGTATAATAGTAATTTTTAAAATTTGCGGAACATGATTTCACTATTTCGGAATACTATGAACACTAATGTCTATCTGCTATTATGTCTTTATGCTATTTCATTGCATCACTAATTGAACGTTCGTTATTCTGATTTCGAGGTTATGACTGTGATGAGTTTTATATGTTCATTATACTTAATAGAACAATTCAATTATATTTACATCACTGTCAATAAAATTGATAAAGTAGATATAGTTATGTAGGTATATAGATGAACTTTTCACCAGTGGCATATCTAGGATTTTATTACTCTAGGACCTAGAATTCTAATTCTAGGACCTAATTCAGAAGAGGCCAGATCGAGTAACATTCATCATTCATATTCTATATATCACGAATATGCTCGATTCGCTTGCAAATAATGATATACCTACTTAATTTATTTCGTATATTAATATCTAATATAAATCATTTTTCATAGGTATTAATAAAAGTAAATAATAAATAGCTTATTATTGATTCATTGTTCATTTTATTTATTGTCTTTCAACTGCTTTTCAATTAACAATAAATATCTATAGTTAAAATTTGAAAAATTAACTTACATTCCTATAATTTTTAAATTGTATTACAATTTACATAATTTAATTTGCGAGCAGAGCATACATGATTAGCAATACATTTGTAAATATTTTATTGAGTTTTAATACTTGTCACAAATGTATTTGATTTGTTTTTATGAATTAATTTTTTCATGTACATAAAATATTATATATGTAATAACTCCTAATCAAATGCAAAAATAAACATTTATAATATAATTAATGATATCACACCTTATATTTTTTCTAATTCTATAGGACAAGTTTGATCGACCTCAAATAGTTGGGGAAAAACGAATGTGAAAAAGATTTTGTTGGTTAATTCTAACATAATTTATGACATAGTAATACGAGATTTTATTCAAATCTAAAAAATTATAAAATATTTATAGCAATAAGTAAATACTTCAAGTTGAAATAATAGGTATCACAATAATTTTCTTCGAGTTTTCAATAGAGAAAATTAAAAGATAAAATAAGAAGGTTATTACAAAAATGTTTATTACATTTTTTAAAAATGAATGATTTGGCTGTTTAAAAAAAATAATTTAAATAAAAAAAGTTAAAAACTTATTTTATGATGTAATTTTATAAAAATTAATTTAAAACTGATTTTTTTTGTAAAAAAAATTACTTGAGCAACCCTATTTATTTATTTTAAATACATACCAAGAGAGTAGACAAAGTGGGTGTGTTATCTTCTTCAAACGAATTTCATGACAAATATAGTTTTTGTTAACAAGGTACCAAATTGGTTATTAGGTTTAAGGAAAGACAGAATACTCTGATTCCCTTTAACCACTTTTTTTTTCTTTTAAAATACCCCTACAGCAAGTCTTCTTGCTTCATATTCCAATTTATTTTATTTGAAGTTGTATCATTTAATCAAAAAGAAGCGAAATATAAAAGTACAAGACGTTATGAACTAAAGACACTCAGATTCGATAGTCGACGAATACGGAATTGATCACAATTCGTAATTCGGTAAACATAAATTATAAAAAACATAACTCGTAAAATTATTCATACATATAAAGAACGTTACATTATTATGTTTATTTTGAATATGCTAGTATGTATATGCCAGTATAGCATTATGTACTTAATTTAATTTAGTGTATATAATAGATTATTTAAATAAATATATAATATAAGACGCTAAGTAAAATTATTAAATAGCCTATAATTAATAATTGTTTTAAAATAATTTTCATAAATTGAATAAGTCAAAATAAACACATACATTTAATTTAATTCAGTTAACAAGAGTATAACCTTTCGACATGGTTATAAGAGTCAATTTTTTTTTACGGTTTTCGCAATATTTTGTTTCACCAACCGACCAATAGCGACGATATGGCACATCAAACGTTCGACCACGTTTTCGTGAACAAACCATTTTACAAATAGACACGCAGATGTTCCAAATGCGGGAAGAGGTCGTTGTTGAGCCCAACAGCGAAATGCGTGAATTTCGTGACCTACTACCACCGGCTATGCAAATTGCGCCACGTCAAGCGCATGCAATCGACGACGCCTGTAGTACTTATCTTCCACCCGATTACGCGAAGCATCACATTCACGGCCTCAATTAACGTTCGTTTTTCAACTGTACAGGGCGAATCCGCGATGGTTGTATCAGTAGCACCCCGCGGCCGATCTCACGGGAAGAAGTTCCGGACGAAACCAGCACCGATACGGACGCGATAACGTCATCAGGGAGTGCGGAGACATCGTATTCGCTTGGAGTTCTAATCGCATTATATTATCGTGTGACGGATAAACTTAATTTAAATCTCGGCATTAGCCGTTACAAAATAAACATAGTCTCTCGATCCGTCGGGTTGCGAAACTTCTGACCGATTGATTTGAATTGCGGATCAACAGTACCCCGTTCGGAGTCTTGAAAAACTCGAATTTTGGTCTACTATCGAATTCGTGAATAACAGCAACTGTCTGATTGACTGTCGACAATCTTTGAAGAACTCGTCGAGGAGGATAGCGAAAACGCCGGTGGAACGCGGCCGATGACGAGCGGGTCGAGCGACATCGGACCGCGTGCGGTGGACGTGCGGCTCCGGACATTGCGGATGACGTGACAGAGCCAAACGATGCAACCGCGGTGAAGCTGAATGCCGCGTCCGTGGCGGACACGGACGGAGCGACCGCGATGAACATGGTCGAGGTGACCATGGTGGACACGGACGGAGTGACCTTGGTGCAGATGGACAGTGCTACCGCGGTGGACATGGACGGTGCGATCGTGGTAGACACGGTTGTGGTGAAGTAGCAGGATGAGGATAACGGTGCGGTCAGCACGTGGCCGAACTTGGAGGGACGCCGGACGATCACGTATGTCCATACAGTAGATGAAACGAACCCAGAGTCTTCCATCGGCCATTTGGTTGATTTGATATGAATTTCTCTGCCTATTAATAAGAAATGGCGCATAGTAAGTTTTATCGTTTGAACCGTGTAAGGATACAAATCGTATAAGTATGTGCAAGTATGTATGTTACAATTGAATACATTTTTACGGTCCGTATTTTTTATATCATTCTTTATAGCAAAATATTTCACTTTTTGTCGATTTTTTAAAATATTAAAATTAATTTTGAATACTTTTGATATAATATATCTCAATAACTTTTAGTGATCAGACAATAATTTGCTTATTTTGAAATATTTTATATTACGATATTTTATTAATACAACAAATTTAAAATAATTACCAGTTTTAACATTGTTTTCCTTGTAGTTACCTATAGGTATACCCATGTGGTGTAGGCCTTCAAGGCAGAGGCGTGACCTACTCGGTCTGCAGCGGCCGCATAATTGGCTGCATCTGAGTTGGGTCCGAAAATAATACTAGTTTTACATTTTGTACGAATTGGGTCCGTGTGAATAAAATGTTTTGTCTGATTTGGGTCCGGGCGTATCAAATGATGCGTTTGAATTGGGTCCACAGTCCACGTATTAATAATATTAAGTACGAATATGGATTAAGGACGTACTTTCTGGTAATAAAATTATTTCTTATCGTAATAAAATACATTATGAAAATAATATTTTAGATTAGGTATTTTCTGCCATTGAAATAATAATCGATGAATTATTATTAATATTATTAATCATTAAAAATTAGATGGACGACGAACGATTAAAAACGATTTAAAAAATTAGAAAAAAACATTTTTAACCATACCTGTAGTCACTGTAGATATTATTATAGACAGTACTAAGTCTGTAAAAATGGGAAGGTAAATGATTTTATGGGACCCAACTCGTACAGTAGGCTATTTTACACCGGACCTAATTAGTGAACAATCTGAATCATAGGACCCAACTAGTATGCGCCGGCATAATTAAATGATTGGTGATATTTTAATGAGCCAACAATTTTTCAAAATTAAAATTCATAAATACTCAATTTTTTTTTTTTTAAGGAAAAAATAATGGATTATTAGGAACATATTTTATTGGTATTTGCGCATCCTTAGTCTTGGTTGGACAGGAACTCCGTCAGGACAAAACTATAAAAAAAAAGTGCACCACGTAGAATACCTACCTAAAGATATTAGAACACAATAATATATATTTTTATCGTTTTTCGTAATAACTAAATAATGAGTGGTATGAAAACTTATACGTTACTATTCCTTTGATCAATAATGCAATACGCCACATATTAATAACACAAAACAATAATGTAGCACGTAAAAATCTAATGACTTTTAATATGTTATGTATTGCTAATATAAATAATAATGAAAAAACGAATTTGTAACACTTCACGTAGTTAAAACATAACCACATTTTACACGTGAGAAAGTATATTTTCTATTAATGTGGTCATTGACAGCTAACGATTCGTATTTAGTATACAAATCAATTAATAACGACAAATGCACCAACGTCCATCTAACATGGTGCATTACTATGTTTATTTTGACTATGATATTGTTTATATGTCAGTATAGCAATATGTACTAAATTTAACTTATTGCATATAATAGAAAATATAAATATATGACTCACACTTTAGATCAGTAGTCTACAACTGATGGAATGTTATCCAATCATGGGTCACATAAGCTTTAATATTAGATCGCGAAAAGTCTTCAGTTTAAAATTTAAAAAATTCATATTTGTATCCATTATAATTATATAATATAATATTATGTATGTCATATAATATCGGATAATATAATTTTCGATTATGTTATTTTGTATTTGTAGAATATACTTTATATATATTACTATATTATATATATAATATATTTAAGAATAAACATCAAATTATATAATAGTATAGGGAAATCCTGAATTCAACGATAAAACTCTTTTATCATTGTATAAGTTATATAGGGTAAAATTGTGCCAAAGTAGAGTATTTTGTGTGAAAACAGGGTCGAATATCGCACTATTTTTATTTTTATTTTTAATATTTTTTTTTGTATTACTACGTATAATAAAAATTAAATATTACTAGATAACTAGAAAAATATAAATTTTTATTTATTCTGTTGTTAAAGCACCTTTACAATAACATATATAAAGCAATTTTCATTTTTTTTCTTTTTCTTGACTAGCAAAACTAACACGGATCTTGAAAAATATATGGTAAGAAAAGTGGGTCACTTGTCATAAAGATCAAAGACTACTACTTCAGACAATCTGCGTAATATTGAAGTAAAATAATCGCCCATCTGGTTTTAGATATATAAAAATAGCTGAATTTATTATGAGTTATAGAATTCATCTATAAATAAACATATACATGATACGTATTATATCAAACAGCAATATTAGTGTGATCAGTATATATTTTGTAATAGTTATCTATACACTTATAAATATATTTTCAAAGAAACACCGTTTCGGGTGAGGCATACATAAAATATTTTCAAATTATTAAATTCATGGTTGAAAAATGCGTATTTTTTTTTTTTTAATATTTCGATGATGTTATGTCAAATTAAAAAAAAAAAATTGAGGCCAAATAATAATGAGAAAAAAACTGCAGATCATCTGACCTCTCAAACCCCTCCTTGGGTCTGGTTTTGCTTTTCATGGAAGTCGAATTCATTCAACGACAAATACTTTAATAAATTAAAAGAAAATATTTACAAAAAGTTAAAATCATATAAGTTTAAAGTAAATGAAAACCCACGAAACACGGCTCATTAAAACTAATACAATAAAACATCAATTTTAAATTTAATATATGTTGATCATGCAACGAAATAGAGAATAGAATCTCTTCTTATTTGTCATTCGATCTGTGTAGTTAATATTAATTTATATTTGGTACTAAGGAAAATGTACATGCATATGACTATGATCAGGTATGGTTACCGAGTGATGAATTGTCTACTGAAAAGCGATCAGAAAAACTTAGAATAATGATTATAATTAATATTATAATCAATGATAATTATACGAACAACTATTATCCATGCATAACATTTTCATCATGACCTTTTTTTATTGTTTAAATTTAAATTGTTATTGTTATTGGTGATATAAAATATAGGTACATTAATTATCACTTATTTTTAGTTGTATGAGTCTACCTTACTATTTTTTTTTTTTTATAAAGCAATATGCAATGTGCAAATTCAATCGTTAAATATGACTATTAGAACTAGAGTTCAATTAATGTTAAAATTAATTCCAATTTTAGAAATAGAAGAATATGAATAAAACCAATAAGCATAATTATTATCAAATATTAACAGAATAAAATTAATTATAACTAAATTGATTTCCATATTAGATAATATTAAATTGATTATATTATAATTTTTTTAATTATTTAATAATTTGTATTTTCTTTAATTTAGATTATTTTAAATAATTTACCTAGTGAACCAACTGATAATTTTTATGAATATTCTATTCAATTTAAGAACATGATACTATGTCATAGTTTTAATACAATCTGCTACTATACAAAACTGTTCAAAATTTTGTTTTTATCGAATTTAATAACATTTTTAATGTTTTTAGTACATTTTTTCAGTGCATTTTTTTAAAGCACAAGGTCGTATTTTTTAAGGATATTTTTCTTATTTTTTAAGACATTAGAATCCGTTCCCTATTTATGTATATTTAATAATTATATCATAAATCTAAACATAATATTGATTTTTTTTTATATAAAATCGTAAGAATAAAATAAATTCAGATTTCAGTAATTTAACCACAAACATTACTAATTTTGATTCAACTACACCAAAGAATCATTTTTACCTCAATGTATTAAAAATAAAAAAATCTTTTACATTTCTAAAATCTAGACTCGATTCACAGTATCATCTCGTACTTTCGTACGAAGAGATGTTTGGAATACAAAATGCCAATTACTTTTAAAAGAGAAGTGCACTAATTTTGGGATGAAAAACAGAGTTAAATCTTTTCGACACGGTGGGATACTGTATGTCCCCCTCAAAAATCTAATTTACGTTACGGTGGAAGAACAAATAATCCATATTTTAAAATATTTTTTCTGTATGAGTCGAAAAATATTAACGCTAAAATTTCAAAAGTATTGTTTTAATAGCACATTACTGATATTATTTTCTTAATATGAAACGAATATCAAATAATTTGAAGTTATCATTAACGGTTTCTTGGAATTTTATTAAATATTGATACTTAATAAATATATATTCAACTAACAAGAATAACATTTTTTGGAAAATTTTTTTCCAAGTGGTTACCACATGTTAATTTCAATAACAGCTGTCAACATACTGCAATCTAAATCGTCTTGATACATTTCAACTAGCTACTTAATTTTTTCATCGTCAAGTATATAATTGGATGATGGTAAAACAAAGTTAACATTTTAATTATAGACCTGTGAGATCAAATTCGCTGAATTAATTGGTTTATAAAATGATTTACAAATGGATTGAATAAAGATATTCTGTAATAATTTTCGAACAAATTAACCTATAAATTAACCTTCCGCTGACGTTGTAGATATAATTGGAACCTTATGAGAACTCAAAAATTTAGATTTAGAAATTAATTATATTTATTTACTCTCCTTAACATTAAAAAAAAAAACTCATTACTCAAGAAAACGAAAAATGATTAATAAAAATGTTGTAATTCTGGACAAAGTTTTATATTGGCGTTGTAAATTTTTTCAAGTAATGAACATATTTCAAATGTGATGGACGTTTACGTTTTGATATTTGTTCCGTAACATACACCTAAAGCGAACCCATGGTTCATCGCCACGAGCCACTTTGCTTTGTAAACAGTCATTGAATGTTCATACGATACACGCATATATTCATAGCTTACATACATGTGCACCGAACCGATAAACGAGACGAAATGTTAACATCGTGTATAGCTCTTACCCATTTCCAACGAATCACCTCACATTTCCAATATAACCAGATTTTTCATG